GCCAAGGCAGAATGAATCTGCCTAGATCTATGATCGCTTAAGCGATTCTTTGCTTTTACTCCTGGTCGCTTAAGTGATCGGTAATCGCTTAAGCGATCTAGCTAGTGGCAGATGCGCAGATCGAAAATCGCTTAAGCTATCCATTTGTATCGCTTAAGCGATTTTCGTAAAACACTCTTGATCGCTTAAGCGATCTCAAATCGCTTAAGCGATCCTGGACAAGGCAGAATGAATCTGCCCAGATCTATGATCGCTTAAACAATCTTGTCCTAAGTAGAATGAATATCTGCCCAGATCTATGATCGCTTAAACGATCTTTTGTATCGCTTAAGCGATGCTTCCTAAACGAGTCTCTGTCGCTTAAGCGATTTAGGATCACTTAAGCGATCTTTGTCAAGGCAGAATGAACATCTGCTCAAATGGGTAATCGCTTAAGCGATCTGATGTATCACTTAAGCAATGCTTCGTAATAGACTCTTGGTCGCTTAAGCGATTTGAGATCGCTTAAGCGATCATATCTGAAAAAGTCTTGGTCATTTGGGAAACATTAGTACATCACTCATTTCCCTCCCAAATCCAAAAAGAATTTGTATCAATCAAATTCATCACAAATCAAAATATAAGATACATCAATGTAATCGAAATAGAAAATAAAAAATAGACATGGGATGTAGCAAATATCGAAATATATGGACAAGCTAACCATTAGCCCCAACTTGGGTGAATCAAATAATCACACCAATACATCACACGTTGTAGTGATACACAAAATGAAACAAAATGCTAAAAAATCATTATCCAACTTGGGTGAAGCAAATTATCACACCATACATAGTAAATTCAACCTGCTAATGAGATATCTTATATAGACAAAAAAAATTATCTCCCAAATGTCAGATCCAATTCTTTACAAAAATTTCATATACACTGCCGCAAGAAGAGCCACAGCACAAGAATTTCCTATACACTGCCTTTAATTTACTTTTTGATGCCAAAGAGTTTAATGTCACTAACACCTTTGCACAATCCCTTTATTGCAGATGCCTCCTCCTGCCAACCAGCCTTTGAGAAGTTTTCGAATTCTGTTTGCCAGCAACCTCTCTGAGATCATTGTTTTGTACCATGCCTTCCCAGNCTTTTGTTGAGTCACCAGCCAATAAGATCGAATGTAAAAACAAAACCAAGCACACTTTTATCTTCTCTGTATCAGTAAATTCAACTGTTTCTAGCCTATTCTCTAATACTTGTGCTGTAATAGACTTATCCCCCTGCAAAACCTTATTATAAAACTGTTTGGCTCCCCGACTATTCTTTACTGCCTCTACCTTCTTATCTGGCACTTCCCCACATCCTAAGCCCGTCACCAGGGCATATTCCATCATGCCAAAACATAGTGGCTTTCCGCCCACCACAAACCACATTTCTTTTTTTTTTTTTTATTGCATCTTACTGAGTGCAGCAACATGTAATGCACTCCCTGCTCCTAAAATGCCTTTTTCTAATGATTTCTGAGTCCTAAAAACCGACTGAAACAAGTGCGACTGAAATCTCTTTTACCATGCGTAATTCCATCTAAAATGTCATGTATTCTGTCAAAAACTTCCCAACTTGACCTGACCGTCACCCTTGTAGGGAAGTATGGCACCTTATCGCTTATAAGGTCCAACTCGTAGTCTGTATAGTTTACGGTCCGCACAATCTGTACAATCGATATAAACAAAATGTCAGCAACAAAAATAAATCAAAACAACTAATAAACAAAATATCAGCAACAAAAAATTACCACTGTGGTCGCTTAAGCGATTTCAGATCGCTTAAAAAATCTTGACTCTGCCTCGTGCAAGATCGCTTAAGCGATTTGAAATCACTTAAGCGACCAAGAGTAAACTAAAAGAATCTCTTAAGCGATCTTATATCTATGATTCTGCCTCAAAAAGATCGCTTAAGCGATCTAAAATCGCTTAAGCGACCAAGAGTCAACTTAATCAATCGCTTAAGCGATATAAAGGATTGCTTAAGCGATCTTAGAATTGGGCAGATGGAGTAAAAGAGGTTAATCGTTTAAGCGATACAAATGATCGCTTAAGCGACAGTTCAGAACATACCCTTTCTTTGGCAGCCTGCTCGTTCTCGCCTGCCTCTTCCTCGTCACCTGAATCCTCGGAAGACTCCTCCTGGCCTGAATTCTCGCCGGACTCCTCCTCCTGCCCTGAATTCTTGCTGAAATCCTCCTCTTGGCCTGAATTCTTGCCTGACTCCTCGTCTTCAAAACCGTTTGCCGATTCTTCCCTCTGTTCTTGTGCCGCTGGCTTCTCCTCTGCCTGTCGACCACCTTCACTGATCGGATGATCCACCGGAGCAGCCATTGAACTGCTTGCGCCACCGGAATCTAGGATTCAAAGTGGCGTTGAGTTTTCCTCGTCATTATGAGTGTCAGCTATGGTTTTGGATTGAATTTGGTGTGAAAATTTGTAGTTTGGATCGGAAATGTGGGCTGTATCGCTGGAAATCGCGCAGATTCCGTTTAGGGTTCAAGAAATCAATTTTAGGGTTCAAGAAATCGATCGAAAATCGTGAGTTATTACCGAAAATCGCGACTATATTCCGTTTAGAGTTCAAGAAATTGAGTTTACGATTGAATATGGTGTGGAAATTTGCAGGTTCGATCAGAAATCGCACTGTCTCCCTTTGGTTCAAGAAATCGCTTTTTGCCCTAATGAATTTTGATTAAGCAAGGTGAATAGTTAGTGGGGCTTGTTTTGAGAAATTTCAAATTTTAAAAACTTTTATTATTTCTGATTCGGCCCACATATGTTTTAATCTTTTCATTTTAACTTATTTTACATGTTTAGTTAATCCTAACTATGCCATGTCATCTTCTCTAAATTAAAAAAAAAAAAAACATTTTCAAGGCCATTTTCTTAAATCGAAGCTTGAGATGGCCGGACAGCTAAATTTTCTCCCAATACCACCTCCATCTAGTCTAATTCTTTTAATCAATCAACCCATCATTCAATCAATTCCAATCAACAGTCAAAACAAACACAACAATTCTCCAAAATCCATACAAAAGCAATCAACAAGTTAACAACAATCAAAAGGAGAAGAAATTGAGGCAATTGGGATAAAAAAAAAAAAAAATCGCACCAATTGGCGCGAAACCACAACTGTCGCACAAAGAACAACCCTAGTCGGTGTCTGATGAACAATGAACAACCAAGGTCTGGGATGATGGGACTTTTAGAGAGGAGGTGTCGCTGATGCTACAGGTGGAATTTTCGACAACCAAATCGGTTGAAATATAGCCTGGAAATCCAAGGGTCGCGTGAACGAAAAACTAGCGATGTGGGTGAACGGTGAGCAACCAAGGTCTGGAATGATGGGGCTTTTATGGAGGAGGTGTCATTGATGCTACAGGTGGCTTCAAGTGGAATTTTCGACAACCAAATCGACTGAAATCTAGCTTGGAAATCCAAGGGTCACGTGAACCAAAAACCAGTGGTGGTCAACGATTGGCATGCTTGGTATGGTGGAAAAGTGAGGGGTTTTTGTGAGTGAAGGATGCGGAAACTGAGGGTGGAGTCGGCCCTAATCAACGGCATCGAAATCAAGTTGAACTGACGGTTGTGAAGATGGAGGTTGGTTACGATTTTTGAGGGGGGTTTTGTAATTGTGTTGTGGAGCTGAATTAGAGGTTGTTTTTGAGTTGTTTTGAATTGGAGATCGATTGTGTTGTGGAATTGAATTGGTTGTTGATTGATTGGATTTTTTTCCAACTATTTTTCCTATTGCCAGCCACCGTTTCTTTCGGCTATTTTCGACTGCATGAAAAATTACCATCATATTCCTGTTTAAACGGATTTTACTAACATATATTAACAGTAAGATGGGAAAATGTCTAAAAATATTAACAGTTAGTAGGTAATTATCGTTTTCAAACTTTTTATATATGAAATTGTCTTTCGGGCAAACTTCAGGTGGGAGGATGTCGTTCGGCCTATTAATTTTCTTATCTTGATTCCTCTTCTGCACTTATTGCAGACTTATGACAGAATCCAACAAATCAGATGAAGAAAGATTTTCATTTTTATTTTAATCTTTCTAATATTGACACGTATTATTACTAATTAATGAATTTTCTTAATATGCACATGGATTTATTTTTTTCTTACCCTTATAGGAGGAGGATGAGAGAGGGGAGTATTCAGTGGATTAGTTAGTAGCCACGTAAAGAGTAAGGAAATTTATTATAGAAGAAATTAAGAAATTTCATTTAAATTTATATGAATAGAATGCCTAAGATTAGATAACAAAATTAAATGAAAATAACTAATACCTTTCAGATTTAGACTAATCAAATATAAAATTTATCAGTTTTGTCCGTTTAGTTAAAAATACACCATGCAGATCTTGAAACAAATAAGTTAAAATTAATTGTAACAACCCTTGAAAAAGTAAGAAATAACAGAGAATTCAACAAAAAATGAAACCAAATATAGAAGAAATTATTCCACATACCAGCCACAGATGAAGTGCACAACACAGCAAATATTTGTAATGAAGAAAACCAAATAGCCTATTAACTCTCACTCTCCATGGAATACTAGACACATTTTAAAATTGTATCCATCAAATAGCTCTCACTTCCACCACATTCTCACTTTTGTGGTAAAAATTCTCATTTTCTTGTATGGCTTTTTTCTCTTATCGTTTATTTTATTTTTGCATGTATAATGTTTTTTATGTTGTAAAAATTATTCACGGGCAGATCAGAGGGGGAAGATTAGGTGAAGGAATCAATGGGAGCAACAAAGGAAGAAGAAGCGAGCAAGGAGAACCAAAAAAAGGAGCAGGTTCAGAAGGTGGCGCTGTATAAGCTGTTTACATTTGCCGATCATAGGGATGTCTTTCTGATGACTGTGGGATCATTAGCCGCCATGGCTACCGGCCTCGCTCAGCCGATCATGACTCTTATTTTTGGCGACATCATCAACGTTTTTGGCAAAACAACTCCAGACCGTATCGTAGAAGAAGTGTCAAAGGTGAATAAATGAACATGTGAAATAGTTCACATTTTAAGAAACTATTAAAAGACAAAATTTCAATAGGCAAAAAACTATAAAAAAAAATATTTATGTTAATGATGTTAATGTTTCAGGCAGCATTGAAGCTTGTGTATTTGGCTATGGGCTCAGGGATTTCTGGCTTTCTACGTAAGTTGAGAAGGCCCTCTTCTTTTCTCCTTATTTTGGTGTTTAATGTAATTTTTATAAAATTATAGTTGCCTATTTCCTTAAAGTTCTTAGAAGACATTGCACATAAACTGTAACATATCATGAAAGTGACAATTATCTTACTGCCCAATCAATGGTGCAACTCAACTGAGTATGTACCTGGTGATGAATTTGTTTCAGATTTTGTGTTTGTGTATTGCAGAGGTGTCGTGTTGGATGGTGACCGGCGAAAGGCAGGCTGCGAGGATTCGAGGTTTGTACTTGAAAACAATATTAAGACAAGACATCGCGTTCTTCGACACTGAAACAACCACTGGAGAAGTCATAGGGAGAATGTCTGGAGATACAGTCCTCATTCAAGAGGCCATGGGAGAAAAGGTATATTTTTATAAATCAGTATCATCAATGGTTCATGCTGGTAACCTAAATAAATCGTTCAAATTACTATTTGTAACAGGTGGCCAAGTTTATACAACTTACCACAACTTTTGTCGGCGGATATATAATTGCCTTTGTGAGAGGATGGCTTCTCTCGCTAGTTCTGCTTTCATGTCTTCCTGCTATTGTAATTGCTGGTGGAGCAATGGCGCTGATCATGGCAAAAATGGCTAGCCGTGGACAAATTGCCTACACAGAAGCTGGAAATGTAGTAGAGCAAACAGTTGGAGCCATTAGAACAGTAAGAATACACAATTAAGATCAATATTTTCAAACTTTAATCTATTATTAATTCCTCTTGGATTGTACTAGGTTGCATCCTTCACTGGGGAGAAACTAGCACTAGAAAGATATAAAAGCAAGATCGAAGTGGCGTACAAAGCCAGCATTCAACAAGGGCTGGCCTCAGGTGCAGGACTTGGAACACTTATGCTTATTGTGATTAGCACTTATGGACTAGCTATATGGTATGGATCCAAATTGATCATAGAAAAAGGATATGCTGGTGGAGATATCATCAACATTGTAATGGCAATCATGATGGGGGGAATGTAAGTCTATTATCTCACCTCCAATTCTTAATTCATCAATATTTGAGTCTTTACTAACTTTCAACAAATGGTGTTATCTTTTGCATTAGATCATTGGGTCAGACATCCCCGAGTATAAATGCATTTGCAGCAGGGCAAGCTGCTGCATATAAGATGTTCGATACAATCAAACGCACACCAAGCATCGATGTCTACGACATGAGTGGGATTACATTGGATAAGATCAATGGTGAAATCGAACTCAAAGATGTTTATTTTAGATACCCTGCCAGACCAGAAGTGCAGATCTTTTCAGGATTCTCACTGTATGTTCCGAGTGGAACAACAGCAGCTTTAGTTGGACAAAGTGGAAGTGGGAAGTCAACAGTCATCAGCCTTGTGGAGAGGTTCTATGATCCTGAAGCTGGTGAAGTGCTTATAGATGGTTTTAATTTAAAGAAGTTTCAACTCAAATGGATAAGGGAGCAGATTGGGCTTGTTAGTCAGGAACCTATTTTGTTTGCAACTACAATGAAGGAGAATATAGCTTATGGGAAGGAGAAGGCAACTGATAAGGAGATTAGAGACGCAATTGAGCTTGCTAATGCGGCAAAATTTATCGACACACTGCCCCAGGTAAACCCATCTTCTTAGGAGCATACAAAGTCTATCCAATCTTATCTTGAACTTGACTACAATTACATTCACCATTAATTTGACAGGGGCTTAACACAATGGTAGGTGAGCATGGAACTCAGCTATCTGGAGGACAAAAGCAAAGACTTGCAATTGCTAGGGCAATTTTAAAGAACCCAAAAATCCTTCTTCTTGATGAAGCAACAAGTGCCCTGGATAATGAATCCGAACGCATTGTCCAAGATGCACTGGATAGAGTTATGACAAATCGAACGACTGTGATTGTTGCACATCGATTGACAACTATCAGAAATGCTGACATGATAGCAGTGGTGCATCAGGGAAAGTTAATGGAAAAAGGTAGCAACACTGAAACTGCTTTCCAATTTCAGGATTTTAAAAACGTTCACCAGGTTAATAATTTCTAAAACTTGATTTCTAGGAACTCATGAGGAGTTGATAAAAGATCCAGAGGGGGGTTACTCGCAGCTAGTTCGTCTGCAAGAAGGAGTTAAAGAATCTGAAGATGGTAGAGTCAGTTCTGGAAATAAGACTGATACAAGTTCTGGTGTACTTGATAATTCCATGGCAAGGTCTGGAAGCTCTAGGAGGAGATCACTAAGGGTAGGTTCATCACGTAGCCGGCACTCCTTTGGTCACAAAAGTGTATACGAGACCAAAGAGGGAGGTGAGGAAAGTGAAAAAAGTCCAATGGATGGTGAGAAGAAACAGAATGTTTCCATCATGAGATTGGCCAGCATGAGCAAACCTGAGGCTCTACATTTATTGATTGGATCACTTGCTGCATCAATACATGGTGTAGTCTTACCTGTATTTGCACTCTTACTTTCATCATCCATTTCCATGTTCTTCAAGCCACCGGATCAGCTGCGCAAAGATTCTCAATTTTGGGCACTTCTGTTTGTTGGTTTGGGTGTCGTTATTTTTGTGGTTGCTCCTTTCCAGAATTACTTCTTTGGAATTGCTGGAGGTAGACTAATAAAACGTATTCGAACCTTGACGTTTGATAAAGTTGTGCACCAAGAAATCAGTTGGTTTGATGATCCTGCAAATTCAAGGTAAGATAAAATTAAAGTAAGCTTCACATGCTCCAAATTGATGCTTTCTCTAACTTCCAATTTTACTTTCACTTATCACTTTTCAGTGGTGCAATTGGCGCAAGGTTATCAACCGATGCTTCTACCATTCGAAGCATTGTTGGTGATGCCTTAGCGCTAATCGTCCAGAATATGGCAACAATCACAGCAGCGCTAGTCATAGCCTTCACAGCTAACTGGATTTTGGCTTTTATAATTTTAGCAGTATCACCATTTATGATAATTGAAGGAGCTCTTCAAGCAAAATTTATGAAGGGGTTTGGCGAAGACGCCAAGGTATTAACCTTTACATGGTATTCTGTTATCTTATCTGGGTGTATTCTTACCATGTTATGGACATATATTTGCAGCGAATGTATGAAGAAGCAAGTCAAGTGGCTAATGATGCAGTTGGCAGCATAAGAACTGTTGCCTCATACTGTGCAGAGAAGAAAATGATGGATTTGTATCAACAAAAATGCGAAGGCCCCAGGAAGCATGGAGTCCGCTTAGGATTCGTAAGTGGTGCAGGTTTCGGCTTTTCTTTCGCTGTGCTCTTTTGTACAAATGGATTCTGCTTCTACATTGGGTCATTGCTTGTACAAAATGGAAAAGCAACATTCGAAGAAGTTTTCAGGGTAGCTACTATTTCTATTTGTTTGTTTTCTTCTAGTGCCTTTTAGGAATCTGAATTAGGATGGTTGCGCAGGTTCTCTTTGCATTCTCAATGGCAGCCATAGCTGTCTCCAATTCCACTTCCATGGCTCCAGACACCAACAAAGCTAAGAATTCAGCAGCTTCAATATTTGAAATTATTGACAGAAAGCCTAAAATTGACTCAAGCAGTAATGAGGGCATGACACTGACTAGTGTTCAAGGTTATATTGAACTTGAACATGTGAGTTTCAAATATCCAACCAGACCTGATGTTCAAATTTTCCAAGACTTGAGCTTGAGCATCCCTTCTGGAAAGGTATTCAATTCTCAGCTCCACATAAATATATTGGTTGTTTTGTTTGCATATCATCAGTGATTCTCTAAGCTTTCGGTATTCTCTCTGCAGACTCTGGCTCTTGTCGGAGAGAGTGGTAGCGGAAAGTCAACTGTAATAAGCCTTATAGAGAGATTTTATGCTCCTGATTCTGGCCGAATATTTTTGGATAATGTAGAAATAGAAAAGTTCCAACTAAGTTGGTTGAGGCAACAGATGGGATTGGTCAGCCAAGAGCCAATACTATTCAATGAAACTATCCGCCAGAACATTGCCTACGGCAAACACGGAGAGGCTACAGAAGATGAGATCATTGCAGCAACAAAGGCATCAAATGCACACAACTTTATAGCTGCATTGCCACTAGGTTATGACACAAATGTAGGGGAAAGAGGAGTACAGCTATCTGGTGGGCAGAAACAAAGGATTGCCATAGCAAGAGCTATATTAAAGAATCCTAAAATTCTTTTGCTCGATGAGGCAACAAGTGCACTAGACGCAGAGTCAGAACGTGTAGTACAAGATGCATTAGAGAGTGTGATGGTTAACAGGACAACAGTAGTTGTTGCTCATCGCCTTACCACCATAAAAAATGCAGACATAATTGCTGTTGTTAAGAATGGTGTAATTGCAGAGAAAGGAAGACATGATACACTGATGAAAATACCTGATGGGGTTTACGCATCCTTGGTTGCGCTCCATATGGAAGCATCATGACCAGAAGAAAATTGTTTTACTGTAGAAGAAACTCAGCTTCCTTTGCAGACTTTGATTGATGGGGAAGGTTTGCACCTGCAGAGAGCATCAGAGAAAGTAACACTCACCTTAAACTTATAAGAGACTGAAGTGAGGTCTTCATGCAAACTGTACCAGAAACACAGAATGGTTTTACCAATTTTTTTTTTTTTTTTTAATTTGCAAGTGCTGAAACTGTAGGTGGCGATCACCTGTATGCACTCGCACAAAAATTATTTTGTACCTCTCCTCATTTATAAATAGAGATTTAAATAAGATGTAGATGGACATTGAAACCGGCGTACTCTGTTAAATTATACACAATCCATGCAGACATGCTTCTCTGTACAAATCTTTAGCATAGTATAAAATTTAGGGGTGTGCAAATCCGGATATCCGATCCGAATATGGCATTTCCTGATCCGATCCGAATTTGCGGATCAGACTATACCCTGATCCGAATTAGATCCGAATTATGTGGATATCCGGATTTACGGATATCCGATTATTCGAATCAGAAACCCAGATATCCGAATGTGATCCGAATTTACAAATTTCTTTTTAAAATCAAATAATTCTAGAAATAAAATTAAATTATAATTCCCTTACAATTACATGATAAAAGTATCTAAAAAAATTAACATGAAGCACAAAACATTTAACTTATGTTTTCCAAACACTGTCACAGCCTAAATAACTGCTATCTTCAATTCTCTCACAAATCCTACGCGCTCACACATGGTTCTTTTACCAGATGACCATTGTATCTTAATGACCAACTGCCTAAATTGCTAGCTTATCTTCATATCAGATGGCTTTGTCTCCCTTAACTACTCGTCATCATCCTCATGTACAAAACAAAACAAAAACAAAACAAACCATTTCAATAAACAACTTTTAAGATTAACAACAAAACCAATATACCGAAAATGAAAATATGCTCAATAAACCGATTAAAGCAACATGCATTGGATAGCTCCCTAATTGACTCCAATCATTACTAAAAAAAATATTTGACACAAAGTCTCTAATTAAGAAGGCCGTGCAAGACATGATCAGCAAAGCATGGCATAGAGTCTCTAACAATCAATTTGATTTCAATTTTTACATGCCCAATTCCCATTCAAAAGCTTAACCTAGACTCAGCGGAGTTTTATTTTCTGGTGTTATGGTTTACTTTACATTAAACTGAATAAATTAAAGAGTAAATGACATGTTCCCACCTTAGGTTTAACGAAACCAAAAATAATACCACTGGTTCTATTTATTCCAATCCACCCTTAAACTAACAGATAAATAAAAATTAGAGTGCATGACCTGCTATTACCAAACTACCCCTCCATCTTCTTCTTCTTCATCTTCCCCTTTTCTCTTCCGCGGCTTCTCTGTCACCCTCACCCTCACCTCAGCCAAACTCTTTCTCTCCTCCCAAAACCGAAATTCATAGCACCACCACCCACCACATCTGATTTTTTTTCTAGCTGTTTTGGCCTTTTTCGATGACTCAAGTAGTGATGGCAATGGGCCGGGCCGGGACGGGTACCCCTTGGCCCAGGCCCAAGCCGACCTCATGACACAGGCCCAAGCCCGGCGAGCCCGCTAGGGTATAATAGGCAAAGCCCAAGCCGGCGACGGGTTTTTTAAACCATAGGCCCGCCCAAGCCCGCCTTTTTAATAATGTTTATTTTTAATATTAATAAATTTCAATTTTTTTTATTTTTAATTTTAGAAATAGTTTTTAAATATTAATTGAAGCTATTCTGCAAATAATTTAAGCAATAATTGAGCAATTAAAACTCCATAATATGATTATACAACTTTTCAGCTGTGCATAATATGTTATGGTGAAATCCACTTTTATAAGTTGAACCAAACCCATGTAACTCATTTAAAGGCAATTTTAACATGTTAAACTTCAATATGGGATAAAATTGAGGTTAGGGTTTGGGAAATATATATATATAAGGATATATTGTAATTAAATATATAGTATAAGGGTAAATTGGTAAAATTAATACTAAAATTTTCGGGAAGGGCCGGGCCGGGCCGGGCCTAAAGATGTACCCATGCCCGGCCGTACCGAGGTCGGGCCTTAAATCAAGCCCAGGCCCAAGCCCAAGGCCGCCAACCTCGGGTAAAGCCCGCCCCTTTGGGCCGGATACCCGAAAATGTCGGGCCCATTGCCATCTCTAGACTCAAGAGACTGCCCCCCCCCCCCCGGGGCCGGCGGGGTTTTTGCCCAATCTAAGCTATTTCCGATGGAGTTGAAACCCTTTATCACCTCCATTGCTCCCGTAGCCCATACTTCAAAACCCCTCTGTTTCCCGACGACATGAACCTTCCAATCGCTGGCGTAGTAGCTTTAGGTTTTGCTTTCTGCGTGGCCGGTCGATTCCGATGGCCAAAATCTAATTGGACACCACCAATGCACCTAGCGGCTCCCACTTTACAAAAAAACCCCTATACCCAGCAACGGTTAGTCGTCGTTCTCTAGTCAAGAGGTTGTGTTCTTCGTCGCGTTTTTTGGTGAAATTGTGTTAATTTGGAGATTGTTTCGGAGAATTGATTGGAGATTGAGAGCTTTGGTTATGATTGGAGGTTGATAGTGTTTGTATTTGGAGGGATTGTGTGATTTTGTTTGGTTTTGGACAAATCAGGTGTGGACAAATCAGATTTGTGTTGGAATTTTGGGGTTGATTGGTTGATTTCGGAGTGTTTGTGTTTGTTGTTCGACGGTATTGGTGTGGTCATGTGGTGCAGGGTGGTGCAGTGGGATGCAACCCAATGATCTCGGTCGGGATCTAGCTAGCGGTGGTGGAGGGGAGAAGAGAGGAGGGGGAGAGAAATTGAGATTTTGAAGTTTGAATTTTAAATTATAGGAAAATACCATTTTACCCTTTAACTGTTAAAAAAATAGAAACGTGTTAGTTTAAGGGTGGAGATTTGGAATAAATAGAACCAGTGGTATTAATTTTGATTTCGTTAAACCTAGGGTGGGAACATGTCGTTTACTCTAAATTAAATGAAGAAATATAGAGAGCAATAATCATATACCCTTCAATTGTACTGCAACAGACTTATTGAAAGTTAAAGCCCTGAATAGAAAGTCCTACTAACAAAAAGAATAATTGCAATTAAAACTATGTCTGGTAATATTTATGGGCTCAAAGGATTTACAGACAGAATTTAGGGAAAATTGAGAAGCCCTTAAGCTACATAATGGGTTAGGGAACTACTCTCTTCTAATTTTAGTGCTTTTGAATGTGTAATCTATTGTGCACCATGAGAAAACAACAAAAATATTTATATGATCCTTTTGGGATGAAGTCTCCATCCTGTAATTAATCAGGAAGTGCATTTGAAGTTATACAAACATTAAAATACACAAAATCTAGTGTACCGAAATAATATGCTATATTCACAATTGTTTGAACTAATTGAAAACTATCTTGACCATAGAGAATTGAACATAAAGGAAATGGCATCCAAGGCTTTTAGAGGCAATTGCCAACAAATTAGCTCATTACCACACTGAAATACTCTAACTTACAATCTCACTTCAAATGGTGAAGGATATAGTTGAGTGTATCCTGACATGATTGGAACCCAAAGAGATGTATTACATATTATCACACCATTACTTAATTTAACTTGGCATAAAGTTAAACACTAAAGAGATTTTGTAATTTGTCCTATCTCAGCACTTCACCTTTCGGTGAAGCAAGCAAGCAATGATCTCAAACAAACCAAATTAAAAAAATTTCAGTTTCTCATAATATTCCTTTCCATTTTCTATCACCAACCATGCTTCTTCCACAATAAACAAAACATGAAAATTCTCCAGTGGATTAGATTAGGGGTCAAACTACAATACCAGATACTTTTTTCGGTGATAAAGATTAAATATAAAAAACAAAGTTTTATTGTAGTCAAATTTGTAGATTCAATATATTGTAGCCTCACGGATATATGACGTGAACAAAATTCAGCAACTCTAAATTCTAAAGAAATTAACTTACGATCGATTTGGGGCTTCAATCGTCAGAGAGACTAAGATCTGATAGAGTTGAGCGAGAGACATGGCCGTTGTGCGTGTTCGAGCGAAAGAGACCGAGAGAGTTGAGCGAGAGAGAGTGACTGATGGAGAGAGACAGAGAGTGTGAGGTTGTTACTCTGTGCCACTAGCGTGACTGCGTGTTCCAGCGAGGCAGTAGAGCGACGAGAGAGACTGAGAGTGAGAGAGACAGAGGTGTGTGAGGTCTTGTCTGTGCGTGTGCCGTGTTCCAGCAGAGAGAGACTGAGAGTGAGAGAGAGTGAGAGACAGGCTTCCAGGAGAGCCGAGAGAGACTGAGACGAGTGAGAGAGATAGAGTGGTAATTGATTTGAGTTAACTGTGTTACACTTAGGGTTATTGTTAGTTGTTACACTCAAAACGACGTAGTTTTGTAAAATCGGATCAGTCGGATATCCGGATTTTTAACATTCTCGATCCGGTATCGATCCGAATATTCGGATTTTTTAAAATACGATCGTATCGATCCGAATTTCGGATATCCGGTTTTTTCGGATCGGATATCTGATTTTTTGCACAGCCTAGTATAAATAGAAAAGTCTTTTACAACATAAAAAAGCATAACGGTTGAACATGAATATTGTCTTCAAAATTAAATAAAAGAATATGAACACCTGACCATGATAAGTAGTGTATCCTTGAAACAGAAGCATGAGAATGAAAATTTTGTAAGACAACAAATGGCGCAATCCCTAGAAAACGAGATTCATTTTAATTACATAATTTAAAAGACGAAGGTGTCATTCTCAAATCAGATCATCAGATGAACGCTTGAGTACAAACTAGTAAGCTTCAGTGGGAAGTCTCTGGCGCTTCTCCACATATGCTGATGGAAACCACCCTGCTACACCTTTACATTCTCCTTCTGACCATCCGGATGCACTCACCTGAGTACACATACAAAGAGTTAACAATTCTGAACAGGCAAGTTATAGGTGTGTCAAAATCCAAACTGAAAATCGACAGACTCCAAATCTTATTTCTTTTGCGACTAAATTAGCATCTAAACCAAGTTTGACATTCATTACATAGGTATTTATTCTTCTTAATGATTATGTCATGAAGACACAGAATGTAGAAAATAAAAAAGGACTTAGTCAAATAGAATAAAATAAGGTTCATAGACATGTATTTCTTGGTGCTGAACAAATCAGAAAAAATTAA